CGGGGCGAGATCTACGGGATTGCGGGCTTTTGCGGGATTTATAGTACAGTAGGGGCGGGGTCCGTGGCGGATCGTCAGGTGAGGTGAGGCTCTCTGATCCCACTCGATCGCCCACCACAGCACAAGCGCGCGCAGTTTGAGGGGGAAGGGGGATCGCCCCCTGTCGTCGCTAGTGAGCCCCCTCCTGAAAGGTAGGCTACAAAAGTCCTGTCTGTAGGCGACCCACGGCGCATCGCCCCCGCTGTCAGCGCGCCGCATCGACTGATCGCAAAAATAAAATAAAAAATGAAATAAAAACGCGACGCGGCGACGAGACGCCGGTGACCGCGGTGTTGACTCAGTGTGACGGGATCCCCTGGCGTGACGGGGCGCTTCCCCACAGGGAGCATAGTGGGGCCGGTCAGTCACGCACACACAGTCACGCTGGCGTGACGGCCAACGAGCCGTGGTCTCCAGCCGTGTTACCGGGAAAGAAAGGGAAGCAAAACTGTGCGCGGCACTCCCCGACAAAGAAATGCCTCAGCGGGCCCTTTCAACGAGTTTTGCACACTTTTTCTCTCTCTATCTCTCTCTGCTTGCCTTCCTGTGATTCGCAGGCCACGTGCTAGACTGCGTGCATGATTTATTTAGTTTTGTATTTTTTTAAGGCGTCTGCGTGTGGCGTGGTCTGAAGCAAAGGGAGACCATGGTTTCTCTCGCTTTGTTGTGCTGAATGAGAACATTGATGTAGAAAACACGCTGACGCGTTTACCGACCACGAGTTCTAAAATGAAACAAATACTTAAAAGATCAGTTACGGTCACATGTTTCGCACAACCACAACCGACGAATATCTCCACAGCAAGTCCGCTCAAAAATTTTAGAGGTTCAAACTGAATGTTCTCAGCGGTTTTGCAGATTAATTGTCATTGCCAGAAACATGCAAATAATTAAGAATACTCCATATTTTCGTACAACTATAACTATTCGTCCAAGACTTTGATGACGACAATTGTACACATCGTGGGATCTAGGGGGTGGGGAGGGGGGGGGGCATGCGCTACTCGCCACGCCAAGGGTGCGGACACAATACAACGGTGGCATTCCCTGGGTGGGACGGAAAGCAGCGCGAGAATCAGCTGCGGACACACACACGCGCGGAGCACGGGAGCCCCGAGTGCGCGCCGGAGTGCGGCCAGGCGGCCCGCCAGGGGGAAGAGGAGGAGCAGGAGTCTGGAATCGGGTCAGAGGAAGCACCTAACGCGGCCAATGTAACCATTTAGAAGGGAAACGTGTGAAGTCCACGCCTTGTGTGTGTGCGCGCTCCAGAACAACAAGAATAATAACCAGGGTGCCCCCGCT